TCAAAGATGGTAGAAATGCAAGCTGGGCAGTTCCCAGCCTGACTGGCTACTCTGGTTAATATATGTCGTATACCTTAACAGACTAGTTACTCAGCACGCTGAGCGCGATGAGCTCTTGTGCCCACAATGACCACGAATCATTAGACTGTCCACACAAGGCTCACGTGGTTGAGTGAAGACCCTCCAGGAAGGGGGAAATGATGGCAACCAGCTGGAAATAGGGCTCCTTTCCAAAACACGCTCTGGCTACATGCTAGCCTTTTCCTGACTTCCAGATTTTGCTGGCTCTCTGCTCGTTCTCCCGGCCTGGCTAATCGCTAACTCCTTTAGCCCCACTGCGCTTCCAAGTGTCCTCGGATGACCTGGCTCCTTCCAATCAAGCCTCAGAAAATCTTTTCTCCCCAGACAATAATGTGTGTCGCCTGGCTTCTCTGCGTTGGTGTGGTTTCAATGCAGGTGACTCCTAACTTGTCAGCAGCATGTGAGAACACGAGAACACGTATGTTCCTACACTTTTAAAAAGTGTAAATAAAACAGTACATCTTTTATGTTGTTGTTGTTCGCTTGTTTTTATTGTGCTAAATATACAGATGTGTCAAAACACTTGCCAAGTTGACCATTTGTGCACGAACCCTTCAGGGACGTTGATTGCATGCATTATGGGGTGCAACTATTCCCACTACCCGTTCCTCATTTTTCTACACACTGTGTACTTTTAAAAGCCCGTCCATATCAGACAGATCATTATATAGATGATTCCCCATCTTGTCTCTGGACAATCCCACGTGGAGTCCCTCAATCAGCTCCCACTAAGTAAGTCCACAAAGAGTCCTTCTCCGATTTCCTTCTAACCATCTTAACCAAGAAACGAACATATCAAATTCACTGCCGTCAAATGGATTCCAACGCACAGCCACCTTGCATAAGCTTTCCAAGGCTGGACATTTTCACAAGAGCAGCTTTCTCCTGGGGAGTGGCTGGTGGTGTTAAAATGCAGCTGTATGCTTACCCGATGGCCACCCCAGAGCTTCTTCCTGACTGCTTTACCGTCGGGCAGGTCGGGGCACCACAGCTCTTTAAAGTACTGCAGAGCACAGCTGTCACTCTGAGGACGAAGGCTCACCTGGCCCGAGCTGTGGGATCCTCAGTCACCTCACTACTGTGAACGCTGAGCAATGCCTACGGCGGAGTGAAGAACTGACGCACTGCCATTAGCGCGCTGGAGAGGAACGCTGAAATGACCGTGGACTG